TGGCCAGAAAGTGACTTTGTAGTATTTGCTAGGTTCCCTGTAGCTATGAATGCCCAGGTGAATCGCCACAAATAGGTAGCAGCCAAGTCTTTTTCTTTTTTTTAAACAAAGCTTAGGAGATTCTCTGGTATGGCTTGGTTGCATGCCCTGGGAATATGGCAGACCATTCTCTTGTTAACAGATTGACAAATGTCTGTCATGCTGTCCTTGATCCATGAGAGTCACCCACCACTACATTCTACTCTTCTGACCCTTAAAGGATGCTCTCTTACATGACAGCTCTTGCCATTTTTGCCATTTTTTGGATGACAAATATCTGCTTCTTTTTCAAGCTCCTGCCCCTCTTCAGAACTTCAAATTTGTTTTTTCTTTTTAGCTCCAAATATAGAGTTGCCTTTTCCTTCCCTTCCTCTTCTGGATGACAGTCTTGTAGGCTCCAAACTCTTGACATACGTCAAATTTTCTTCTAAAGTCAGTCTCTGAAGGGTCCCACTATTCAGTGGGTGGCACCAGGCAATGCCCCAGGTTGTTTGTATTTGATACCCGTTTGGGCAGAGTCCCAACCCAGTGGCACCATCCTGCCCCATTCTCAACTAGCCCCAAGCAGTGCCCCACACTTCAGTCTCAGTTCTCTCCACTTCCAAAGCTGCTGTCTTCCTCTGGTGTCCTTTACCTTTTACCTGGACCCATTTACCTTTAAACACAATCACTTCTCCCCCTCTTAAAAAAAAACCCAAAACCAAAACCAAGAAAAACTTCACTCATCTCTGTCCTGTATTTCTTCTTTTCTGTCTCAAACCAGAAAAACCCAACCACACTCACTGCTTCCACTTCCTCCTTCTCACTCACTCCTCACTTAACCCTTTGCAATGTGGTTTGTGACTTCATCACTCAACTCAAACCGTTCTGTCCAACATTATCAATTACTGATTGCCAAATCTGATCATCTTTTCACAAACCCTTATTTTTCTTGACCTCTGCTTTATTTGACATTGTTGACTGCCTTCTCCTCCTGGCTGTATTCTACGCTCTGAATTTTTGTGACTTCATTCTCTTCGGGTTCTTCTACTTGTCTGACCACTCCTTTGCTTATTATGACCTTTAACCATAAGTGTTAACTAGGATCCGTCCTTTGCCCTTTTCTCTTTTTTCTCTCTTTGTGTCTCATGTCTCAAATACCACCCCTCTGCACTTCCGCCTCACAGAATTCTTCTTTCAGGATTTAGCTCAAGAACCAACATCTACCTGATTCTCTCAGTTGCTAATATACCTCTCTCCCTAACTACCTTGAATTTATTTGCATTTATTTTCTTTTCTATTTATACTCTGGGATGCTTATATATGTTCTTGTTTCCCCTGATAGAATACAAGTTCTTTGGGAGAAGCAAATATATTATTCTTTGCATTTGTATCTCTAGTATCTAGCATCTAGTAGATACTTAACAAATGCTTGTTGAATGATTGCAAAATGCCCCTTACTGATTTGAGATAAAAAAAAAAAACAAAACTATTTGTGGGTGTTTATACTTTTTAATCTAAGTACCTTTTAAAAATAAATATTTGCTAATATCTTTTGTTCTTACATCATCTAAATCTTTCCCTGTACTTTCTTCCATATAAAAAATAACTTTTTAAGGAAAAAAGAAATAGCAGGAGAAAAGGAAAAAAAAATGCAACAAAATCAATTGATATATTCAAAAACATAAAAATATATGAATGCTCACACCCATCAACCTCCCACATCTGCAAAGGAATGTGTGTGTATATGTGATAGCGGAGGAAGGGGATTGGGGAAGGAAATACTGTGACTTGTCAGATCTCTTCTTTGAAGTCTTGCTTGTTTGCAGTTTTACAATATTCTGCTTTTCAATTTTCCCAGAAGTTCTTATCAAATAAGGAGTTCTTTCCCCAAAAATTTATGGTTTCAGGTTTATCAAACACTGTGTGACAGAGTTCCATTATTTCTGATTCTCCCTTGTCCAGTTCTTCCCATTCCATGGATCTATTTTTCTATTTTTCCATTTTTTAACCAATACCATATAGATTTGATGACTGCTGCTTTAAAATATAGTCTGAGGTCTGAAATGGCTATTCCCCCTTCATCTTTTTTCCTTGATATTCTAGACTTTTTGTTTCGACAAATAGATTTTGTTATTATTTTATCAATTTCTGCCATTTCTCTCTTTGATGGTCTGATTGGTAGAGCATTGAAACTGTATATTAACTTTGATTGTACTGTCACTTTACTGGGGAAGGAAATGGCAAACCATTCCAGGATCTTTACAAGAGAACCCTAGGAACACAGACGTCCATGGGATCACAGTCAGACATGACTGAAAATGACTAAACAACAACCAAACTGTCACTTTGCCAAGCCATAAGCATTAAATATTCTTCCAGTCTGAAAAGGAATTAACAACTTAAGTTGTTCTTTCTTTAGGAACACTTTATATTAAGTTGTTACAAGTACATTTTTTTTTTTTTGTGAGGCAATCAGGGTTAAGTGACTTGCCTAGAGTCCCATAGCTAGTTAGTATCATGTGTCTGAGGCTGGACTTGAACTCAGGTCCTCCTGATTCCAGGGCCTGACTCCACTGCACCTAGTTGCCCCCTACAAGTACATTTTGTATGCTTTGGGAGCTTGACCTCCAAATATTTTAATGCATCGAAATCCCTTTTTAAAGTCCTTAACAGCCTTTATCACCTCTTCATAGCTTGACAGCCACACCACACTTTCTTCCTTATGTCTCAACAACTTTATAGCCACACACTGCTTCCTTTAGCACTAACTTTTTTTCCCCCATCAATTTAACTTGACTAATTGCATAGCAAGGACCAACAGAAATATAAATCCCTAGTTACAAATTCAAATACCTCTGTCACTAAACTTGCTATTCAACTCTCATTACTTATAATTTGCTTTCCTTAATACTTTGAGAAAATTTTTCATTTACAAAGCTATTGATCACCCACACAACTCACATTTTAAAATTCTTTATCTAGAATGTCCTTATGTCTCATTAATAGGAAATAGTTACTACTGTTTTTTAATTTCTCTCCATAACAATACACTTGTCCTAGTGCTAAGCGCTAATGGGAACACAACATTCAAAGCTGTCAGAAGAAACTTGGAGAAAATCTAGTCCAACTGCCACATTTCATGGATGAAGAGACAGAGGCCTAGGGAGGTTAAGTTGCTCTGTCTAAAGTCACCCTGGGAGAAAATGCAGTGAACCCTAGTCCTCTGATTATAAATCTAACATTTTGCTACCATATCATTTCAGTGTGTTCTGTGTCTAAAACTTTCCCCAAAATGAAACTACAGTAAGTACTTTTTTCCTGCTTCGTAACTCTGACTCATTCAGCACCCATCTCCTATGGTCTCATCATTTTATAACCAACTACTGCCAGATGCTCCTTGAAGGCAAAAAATCTTTTTTTCCTTCTTTGAATATTTCAACACCATTTAACCAAACAGCACATAAATAGTTTTTAAATATATTACAAAAACTTAGGCCAAAAAGTTCACGTAGTGCTTGAAGGGGATGGAGGAATTGTGCAGATAAAGGCCAGTCCACGAGGCAACTCCTGGCAAGTCTTCAGTGCAAGTCCATTGTTCCTGAACTCAATCACCATCAGAGTCCCTAATCAGACTAGCATATCTACTTCATGTCTCATTTTTTTTTAACCTAGAAAGTTTTGGTTAATCCCCTTTAAAGACTGGGTTTGCAAAAGCTAGCATTATGAAGTTCCTTATTTCCTGCTAGGTCCTAATACCTACAATGTGGATAAGCTGCTACAAGATCAAATACAGGTCAAATCTTATTATGCAAATTCTTTTTAGCATATTGTGATTCTGTCATATTGGATCATAAGGAGAAGCAGGTATTAATAGGGGTCTAGAAATCCTTTTGTTATACAGAAACTTTTTTTGTAGTAAAATTTGTTGCTACAGGATTTAACCTGTATTTGATTTTCTAAATGCTATTATACCCATTAACATTTGTGATTTATAATATTTATTATTAGTTATATTATGTAGCATGTTTGGTGGAAACACAGAAATAAAAATATCTTTAATACACATATTTAAGTAATGAAAGAGATCTTTAAGTTTGAGCATTTGCTTGTAAAATTTTTTAAAAATTAAAAATGTCCATGATATTATTATTATTAATTTACTAACATGCAAACATTTACTAACATTTTACTATATTACACTACCTGGTATCATAACAAATTAACTTTTAATTTAAAAAGTAGATTTCTTCTGATAAAGTCTTGGATAAGATTTCTCCCTAAGAGGGCTAAGCTTTAAATGAAATTTCAATAAGTTAAATTAAGATTTCCAGTAGGATCTAATAAGAGAAAAAGAAATTCCTACTGACATATTGACATATAGGAGATGTGAGAACATCCCTGGAATAAGCAAATAGGAATCATCTTATATAATCACTAGATGACTGTTAAAACAATATGATCCTTCTTTCCTAAACCAAGCTGGTTAAAGGGAAAGAGGAATAAAACTAAGTCAAGTCCAGGAAACCTCTGGAAATTCCAATAAATTCTGTAGTTGTCATGGGAGCTAGTTTGGTCAACCCTAAAATGAAACAGATTTCAAGGTCCATTATGGGGTAATATTGAGGCAGTACTTTAAAAGAGCATTTTTTTTTCCCAACCACTTTGGAACTTCAGAACAAATCTAAAACAAATCTCCTAGTGCCATTCTGCTTTGGGTATACAATGGAGCAAAAGAAAGAAAGAAAAGGAAGAAAGGAAAGAAAGAAGGAAGAGAAAGAGAAAGAAAGAGGGAGAGGGAGGGAGGGAGGAAGGAAGAGAGAGAGGGAAAGGCAGGGGAGGAGGAAGGTGCCTTTGGTTCTTTCAGCCAGGCATTTGTCTGGCTCATTTTGGGGGTGGAGGGGGGAGAAGGGACACCATCATAGTAGTACTGACAGGAGCAGCCAGCTCCACCATCAGATGCCTCTTCTGTCTCTCCATACCTTATTATCAGTCCGAATCGTGACTTTCAGTTGTGGTAGTACACGTTCCACTTCTAGATTCCATTCTGCAGCATCTGTTGTAGATTCCAAAATATCTTCTTGTTTGGCAGACTCGTTCATATCCTAAGAAAAGAAAGATATTACAAGATTGAGAGTTTATAAAAAGATATGGTGAAATCTTGAAGCATTTTAGCAGCAGTACACAATTTAAATCAGGCACAGTACTACTGAAATTATTATGGGAACAGAAACTATTCTATCATCCCACCCATATCAAAGAAAAATTATCCAAAACTGTATAAAGCAGCAAGAGTACAGGAATCAAAGGATCACAGACTTAAAGGTGGAAATGACCTTGGAGTCTATTCTAGTCCAGTCTCCTCAGTGTAAAGACAGGGAAACTGAGACCTAAGGAGTTTAGGTGACTTGCTTAAGATCACCTAGGTAATAAGTGGTAGAGCCAGGATTTGAACCCAGGTCCACATCTTTGAAGGGAGGCAGTGTGTTTCAGTGGAAAGAATTCTGAACTTTCCCACTAAATTTGGAGCCATGGGACTAGAGTTTGAATCTCTGCTTTGCCACGTAGGTTCATCTTGTTGTTCAGTTGTTCAGTCATGTCTGACTCTATGTGACCCTGTGGATTCCATGGGATTTTCTTAGCAAAGATACTGGAATTGTTTGCCATTTTCTTCTCTTGTGGGCTCCCTCCCATTTTACATATGACTGAGGCAAAGAGGGGTGAAGTGACTTGCCCAGGGTCACACAGCTAGTAAGGTCACATTTGAATTCAGATCTTCCAGACTCCAAGCCTGGAGCTCTACCCACTGCACCACCCCGCCTAGGCTGGTCTACCTAATCTTAAGTAGGGGGCTGAACTTAGATTTGAAAGAGAAAGCATTGTACAGTGGAAAGGGAGCAAGATTTGGACTGTAATGCTAGGATTCAATTCAGGGTTTGTTGCTTTTTATCTATGTGACATTGGGCAAGTCACTTCCTTTCTCTATGTCCTCATCCATAAAAATAGGAGAATTATCTTGAAGGTCCTTTCAATCTCCAAATCTTTGACCCTAAAATGCTAAATAAGATACATTCTAGTGTTCAAACTGAAAGGGACTTTAGATGTTATCTAACTCAACCCTATCTTTTTTTAAAGTGGGCACAGAGGGAGAAATGACTTGCACAAGGTCACCCCCAAAACTGCAGAAGCAAGATTCAAAGTCCAGGTCTTAGCATTAGTCCAGATCTAGCATTCTTTCTGCTGTGACTCTGCAGATTGGCAGCTCAGTATTCTACTGGTGCTTGAGGTCTTTAATGGCTCAGAGGCTAATTCCCACTTTGGAGGCTTAACACCACACTTAGACTTTTGGGACACTCCGTGTAAAGAAAATACAGGCTTTAGTGAGTGCCTAATGGACAGCTATATACATAATGTCACTTAATAAGAATTTCACTTAGTTATCCCAGTTCATAAGTTGCTCCATGCTCTAAACTAGACACTTTAGGAAGTTGTATTAACCTTTTCAGAACACAAGGGTGTCACTGAGTTCATTTATGTGGTAATTTGCTAATCAGTAAGATATCTTAGTGAGATGAAAGCCTTTCATGTAGCAACTTAAATTTCCTAATTCATTCCTAGAAAATAACTTATATACTACCAGAATCCACCTAATTTCTTAATAGGGAAGGGGAGAAAAAGAAAAAGGCTAGTGTCTGTAAACAAGCATTAACTCAGGACACTTCAATTACTTCCTGTTTGCCCCATTTATTTGACCACCATTTTCCCCAAAAGAAATTCCTAATGCCTCAGTCACTTGATGCATTAACTAAACAAGCCATAAATTTGACGAAGTATATATAATTTTCAGAGCCCACACCTTGCATTGGTTATATTACTCCCTTAAAATATTATACTTCCCAACTCATTTGTTCTCTATTTAGTAAATGTAATTTTATGCAGGGTTCTGAGTAGAAAAGAAACAAATAGTTGCTTTGGTTTAATCAAAATAACCTATTGTGATGACAAAGCACTCCTATAAACCAGCATTCACAGGGATAAGTGCTACTCTCTGGAAACAGTCTTTTCTAGAGAAAAGCTGCTGTAGGGATAGATAAGCCTAAAGCCAGATCACAGTAGCCAAGAATCCTTGGACCACAGTGTCATTCTGGATGGCAAAGTTCTCTTGACTAGCAGTTAATCCCCTTTAAATAACAACATCTTTAGTTTTAATTATTTCTAACAAAAACACATTACACTTCATTTATTCACTCAAAAAGGATTTATTAAGCATCTAATAAGTGCCAGGTATTGGGGACACAAAATCAAAAACAAACAGGCCCCTGTCCTCAAGGAGCTGACAATCTACATAATGTAAGCTTATATACACAGAGAAGAAAGCTTACATACACAGAAAAGAAAGTACAAAATATTTACAAAATAATTTCCAGGGGAAGGGGACTAATAGTAATAGAGGGAAGGGAGAATCTCTCTGCCTTCTTAAGAAGAGTTTATTGAAAACAGTTTAGCTTTTTCTTCATAACTCAGAATCAGCCTCATGAATATCAAATTTTATACTCTATTGTATGTAACACAGAGTGGTGCCCTTAGAGTTTATTAAGGTATTTTTGGAGGTTCACCCTCATAGAAAGTGGCCCTAGACCATTAATTTTCTTGAGTTCTTCTGCCTATTGTTTCTTCCTTACAATTTTTCTGTCTCCTTCTTTGCTGCCAAGTGACACAAATTATTCCTGCCTACAGTAGGCCCTGTGCCTATCCATTTTGCTTCTTGCAATTTTTATGGCCTTGGAAACCAGATAATTAAGTTTATTAAAATTATGTGCATAGTAAGAGTCAATACACTCTGAATAAAGGACTAAGAAGCTCTGCTATGAGTAAAATTCACACACTTTATTTAATGAAGACACCTATTTTGGTGATTCAAAGGTCTTTTTAGCTTCCTTCCTAATTTTTTCTTAACTTTATTCTAGATAGGTGAGATAGCCAAGCTCTAGATAGGTGAGGTATTACTATCGGGTAACAGAATTTCCCTCTTCATGTTTCTTTCAGGTGTAAATGGAAAGCTAGATTAAGTAACAATAATATGCTACTTGGATTAAGAGAATTTTCCCCAGAAGATATTACTATTTTTAAGTAAACCAAAGTTCAGGTTGGAAGAATCTTAAAATCTTGTATGTCTCTTTAAGTGCTGTATTTTTTTTAATTCAGTGAGTTTGATTCATTGCTTTCTTGCTATATTAGGTTTTACATGATTTAACAGTGTATTACCATGAATATAAATGTTTAAAAGTACAAGTTAAAATGTATATTCAGATCTGTTCTGAATGATTCAAATTAAATACTAGTTGTAATCTCTCAAGGGAAGAAGATGGATAGAATCTCATGTCCTTAAATACACTTGGTTCATGAAAATTAAAAAACAAAAAACCACCCTCAAGTTTCAATGCTGATAATGAGAAGAAATTTTATGCCAGACTGAGTAAACTGAGCACTTGAGAAAATCACATTCTCATAACAAGAAATGTTTTTTAAAGAAGGAAAAAAAAACAATTAAAAAACACCATTTTATTATTTCAATTAGAAATGTTAACTGACCTTTGAAAGCTTTTATTTCCAAATTTAACTTTCATTAGTCAGTTACCAAGAAAAGAGGTGGCTGATCATAAAGTGAGAGTGAGAAGCATTAGATGTTAGCCTGAGTATGGCAGTTACTGAGATAATTAACAAACAACAACTGGAAAACGAAAGTAAGCTTCTCATGTACTGGGGAGATAATGTGAAGGAGTTTGGGGAAAACATGGGAAAGAATTGAGCAAAATATGAGAAATTATAGAACAAAAGGAATGTAATCAGCATTAGCTGAGGAAATATATAGGAAATCATGTATGTAACGAATTACCAAGGCACAACATATAGTTAGAGTTGGTCCTTAGAAATGCCAGGCCCCACATGTATGCACAGTGAGTGGCTTAAATTGTACAAATATGCGAGCAAGCTTGTAAGAATGATTTTAGGGAGTTAGGCTTCCACAGCAGGACAAGAAATTCCAAGATTTTGTGGACAGTCCCTCAACCAATCATAAAGTGCTCCAAACTTTTCTGTAAACAACTAGTTCCTAAAGAAAGAGCCCTAGAGACTAAAAAGGTTGCAACCAGCTGGGTTCAAGGATGGGGCTATGAACTGACACACCCCAAGGGCGGAGATAGCTGCCATTTTTGAACGTGGGACCCATTAAGTGGGAGGAGTTAACAGAACATGGATTAACATGCGATGAGCTGTCTAGGAAGGGTGTAACTCAGACGAACTAGACCAATTGGAGCCCTGATGGGTGGAGTAAGGATCTTACTAACAGCTTAAAAGTTGATTCTACCACTGAACCAGTGCCCACGTGCACTCAAGTGCCCGCTTATCTCACAAGATGCATTAATAAAGACACTCCTTCACTCACTCACTGTAGCAGATTTTTGTTTCAGATTTTTCTAACAAGCTGTTACTGCATCTATTTTCTTTCATTCCTTTCTAATCATGACCCCCTATAGCTGCCATCAGGACATTGAGTATTAGTCTGTTCTGTCTTCTAGGTACTCTGAGACCATACTTACTGACGTATCCTGACCCCAAACCCAACTTTTAAATAGAGCAAATTACTGCTTATTCTGTGGTTTAGAAAAAAAAAAAGTTTTAACCATATTCTTTGCAAAACAAACAAAACAAAAAAAAAACAACAAAAAACCCAGAATTACTATGTGGTTAAGTAATATGAGGAAAACAAAATGAGTACTAGATATGGTCAATCAATTAAAAAAAACATTTTATTAGGCTCCTACTATGTGCCAGACACTATGAACAGGGGATTTGTGCTAAGCACAAATAAAAAAAGGGACAAAAGACTGCTCCTGCTCTTAAGGAGCTTACAATCTAATGCGGAGTGGGCGGGAACAAAGTACAAATAAATATATACAAAACAAGCCATACACAGGATAAATAGGAAACAATTAACAATGGTTTGGAAAACACTGGCATTAAGAGGAGTTTGGGAAAGCTTCCAGAAAAGGTGGGATTTTAGCTGGGACTTAAAAGAAGTCAGAGAAGTCAGCAGTCGGAGTGG